CTGCGGATGTGACACAAGAGGCCTGGGTAAACACCACCTGTGATTACATTTGCAGTTAGGGGTTTAATTAAGGTAGAACCTATTCTAAAGGTAGGGAAAGCTTGACTTGGAGGTTCAGCTATTTTTATTCTACACAGCTAGATGAAATTACTGCCTGGCATGAAGATCGAATATAGTGTTAAAAAAAAGAGAAGACAAGTGTTGGTGTAGTGGTTGTCCATGTTTAATTCATAGTGACCTCAAGCATATTTGCTCCAAGTTGCTTCATATGCAATACATTTAAAGGTTTATTAACCTTTAAAAAAGGTATAAGAAAGGTTCTTATAAAGTGTTATCAATGTTGTTGAATTTCCTATTATACTATTTCTTACTATTTGCAATTATTATAGGGAGAAACTAAATTTATAGAATTCAAAGCCCTTTCTGAGTTTGTTCTTTTGAGAGACACGGGAGATGGCTGTCGTGACGCATGTATGTTCGACTCGCAGATCTACTATACCATTCTGATAATGCAGCATTTCTTGTTTTCCAAGACCTGATCAGATTAGGACTACATTTGACAAACGATACAACTCATCCATTCCTTTTCTAACTGCCCTGTCCAATTCAGGGTTGCCAGAGCCCATCCCGACAAGAAACAGGAGGAGTAAGGCTGGATACACCCTGGACACACACACAGACACACACTCGCACCGGGACCAATTTTCCCAGAAGCCAGTCAACCTACCAGTATGAACGCTACCAGTATGGGAAACCAGAGCACCAGGAGTAAATCCAGGTGAACACAGGGAGAACATCCAAACTCCCCGCAAGAAACACCCCAGGTGCAGAACTGAACCCAGGGCCCCAGCAATGCTAAACTACTGCTGCCCATATTTGATCCTAGTGCTCTTTCCTTCAGTTGGTGTGCCAGCAACTGTTCATCACCATGGATGAATGCCAAATGGCTGTAAGCATGTAGACATGACAACCTGTACCTGTAGATCTAATTAAAGCTAAGAAAGGATGGAGGAAGGTGCAATTTCCCAAGATCACAGTCATATTCATTAGCTCCTTTTTTTCTAGCCTCCCGATTTGGATTAGCCAATTGTTGCAGTATGGCACAGAGGCTGAGGGGGAGCTCTGCTCCTACTCTGTAATGCTGCTTGGTATTTAGTACTGGACATGCAAACTCTACAGTGGCTGAAGGGGAATCGCTGCAGAAGTGATGACTGAATATACTTCAAGCTCACAGATGCACAGCAGGTTCCAGGGTTGCAGCTGCAGGGAAATCTGGCACTGGCTCTGATCAGCCAGATGTGTACGGCCAGGTGAGCCCACTCATATTCTGCTAGCACAACAGCACAGGCATGCACAGATGACACCTGGAAAGGTCAAATTAGTGTCTTTTCTGGGTGAACCGTTAATAATAACATCACTTTATTAACCCTTTACAATTTCTTGCATTAGGAATTATCTTTTCGCAGACCCCAGCTTGCTCTCCATGAGACACACAGACACACAGATGGGGAGAGAGCCTGGGGTCAGAGCGCAGGGTCTGCCATTGTACAGCGCCCCTGGAGCAGTTGGGGTTCAGGGCCTTGCTCAGGAGCCCAACGGAGTAGGATTCCTCTGCCGGCTGCGGGATTTGAACCGGCAACCTTCCAGCCACGGGCGCAGATCCTGAGCCACAGAGCCACCACTACGCCCGTTTGTTTTTTTATTTTCTTTTTTTAGCTGTTAAGTTAGTTAAGCTGCCCCATGAGTTCTTTTCTAGTCTCAGCTCAAATAGTTAGCCTACTAAATAAAAGCTTGTCATACAACATGATTTACTTACTGAACTACAGTAAACATCCATGTACCTGTCAAGATACAGAAGGTAGAAAGGGACCAGGCGATGTTCGTCATCCATGATAGAAAGCAATTCATAAAAAAAAGAGAATTATACACTGAGACATGAGAAAAGATTCAGTAGCATGGTTTATTTTTTCAATCAGCAAAATAAAAAAAAATCTACAATATGTATTACCATTAGTGTCATTTTCATGCCTTTAATGTGCATTTTCATGAATAAAACTTCCCCCTCCTTTGCAACTGTATGAACAATATATGCCACAAAAGTTACAAAAAAAATGAAAAACTGCAATCATACAAACAACAAGATTTTACATTTCATACACAGAAAAATATACCTTTCTCTGGCACTTAGTTTCCTCAATATTGACTTTATTATTTACAATACAATACATACACAAAGTTCTTTTCCATTGCATGCTCCTAGGAAACTGGAGAACATAAATGTTGTGGGCGTTTTGATAGGCTTTTTGCATTGTTTTTAATAGTCATACTCAACATATTTAATGCATAGGGTGTGACAGTTGCTGTCCACAACCCATATTATTTTGAAAATCAAAAATCACTATTAAAAAGGAAAATAAATAAAGCTTTCAACACTATCTTTACAGCATAGTTCAAAACATTCACAAAGATACCGAAATTAACTTTGATTCTTTAAAAAAACCACCTTAGATTTCAATTGAACTACAAAATTGTTTTTCTGACAAGTTAGTGATGAGCAATTGCCTTGTTTTGGTTTTTAAAGACTTTCACATTCAATTTAGTATCATTTTAACATTCTCTTCAATAGCAGCCAGTGATGGGTGACACCTGTCACATAATGGGGCAAAAACATAAGGCACTAATGACACAAAAATGCAACAAACCTGCCTCACATCACAGGGATAACGTTGCGGGGAATCAAAATAAACTAACTTTAGTTCTTCCATTAGTTAACTAAAAGCCATTTAGCTCAAGCGCTGCAGTGAATGACCCAACACAAGCACGAGAGCTGTGACAAATACACCAGAAAGCATGCTAGAGAGACTGAAAATGTTTCATCATAAATAAAACCTGGTGATTGTTCTTAAGTCGGCCAACGTGGAAAAAAAAAAAAATCAGAAAGGAGGGTCAATTTCTTCCCAAGTATTTGGAATATGAACAATGAAATCCGGAGGTCAAGTTTCAAGTTTACATTAGCAAGGTTACGAACATTAGAATTCCCTTTTAAAATGACAAGGGGCCGTTCTGCCCTAAAAACCACCCCCATGGCGGCACATTCCCATCAACACCTTCGCAGGTCGCCCATCACTTCCTCCGTCCCCACACTTCTCAGGACATCCCCATAGAACAGAACCCCAGGCCCAGCAGTACTTGTCTCTTCATCAGGCCACAGCCAGGACCAAATAACGACAGCATTCAAGTTCTCGAAAAAGCAGCTTCGAAACAATACAGCAGTCATTCCGTCTCGCTCTCCTTACTTTTGGCACCTGCGTTGGAAACAAAGCAACACATTATTCTCCTTTTTTTTTTGCCGTAGTAAAATCGAGATGTCTCAGCGGCTCAGAGAGCCTTTACCTTAATTTGTGGCAGGTGTGCCGACATTTGATTGAAAAGGCACACAACAGGTAAGAAACAAACTTTCTGCTGATTACCCTTTGCCATCGATAGCAGATCTGCAGTGAGAGTTACAGGCTAATAGTGTTGGAAGCGCTGCTTGAAGCCACACAAACTGTACATCCGTGACTCATGCTTCGGCTTTGCAGCAGACTGTGGGAATCGGTCCCATTCCTCTCGCTAACTTCGGACCGCACGTCCCTGTTCACGGGTCTCTGATGCCACGTTACCCCAGCTCACAGCTCACAGCTCACAGCTCACAGCTCACAGCTCACAGCTCACAGCTCACAGCTCACAGCTCACAGCTCACAGCTCACAGCTCACAGC